TTTCAGATTGGCTCAGTTCTGGACTTGCAGCCATTTAGGGAGTGAACCAGCAGGTAGAAGACTTCTTCTTCTTCTTCTTCTTTTTTTTTTTTTCTGACAGGCAGAGTTAGACAGTGAGAGAGACAGAGAGAAAGGTCTTCCTTCCATTGGTTCACCCCCCAAATGGCCGCTACGGCCGGAGTGTTGTGTCGATCTGAAGCCAGGAGCCAGGTGCTTCCTCCTGGTCTCCCATGCGAGTGCAGGGCCCAAGGACTTGGGCCATCCTCCACTGCCTTCCCGGATCACAGCAGAGAGCTGGACTGGAAGAGGAGCAACAGGGACAGAATCCGGCGCCCCAACCAGGACTAGAACTGGGGTGCCGGCACCGCAGGCGGAGGATTGCCAAGTGAGCCGCGGCGCTGGCCAAAGGCTTTTTTTTCTCTCTCTCTCTCTCACTCTCTGTCTCTGTCTCTACCTCTCTCTGTAACTGTCTTTCAAACAGTAAAATAAATCTTTAAAAAAAAATCAATACCCTTGACCAATATCCCTTCTTTCCCCCAACCCAACTTCCAAAACTGTGTGAAGTAATCGATAATTTTAATTGTGGCAATCATTTCACAATGAAAACATGTATATTAAAAATCATATTTTTATATGTTCATGTAATTGCATAATAAATACAGTTTAGGGGCCGGTGCTGTGGTGCATCAGGTTAATGCCCTGGCCTAAAGCGCTGGCATCCCATATGGGCACCAGTTCTAGTCCTGGCTGCTCCACTTCCCATCTAGCTCTCTGCTATGGCCTGGGAAAGCAGTAGAGATGGCCCAAGTCCTTGGGCCCCTGCATCCACGTGGGGGACCCAGAAGAAGCTCCTGGCTCCTGGCTTCGGATTGGTGTAGTTCCAGCCGTTGCAGCCAATTGGGGAGTGAACCATTGGATGGAAGACCTCTCTCTTTGCCTCTCCTTCTCTCTGTGTAACTCTGACTTTCAAGTAAAAAATAAATAAATCTTTAAAAAAAATACATACAGTTTTGTCAAGTAAAGATAAAATATTCCTGTGACTGTTACATGAATTTTGTCTAGTTTGAGATATAATTATAATTGTTGCTACCGAACTGATTAAAATATGAATTTATTATGTATTTTGAGAGATGCTAATGAACATTAAGTAAGATTTTATTGGCAGAGCAGTTCTTAATGAAATGGTTAGGGCATTTTTTGTTAGGTCAGTTCAGATGACCATGGATGAATATCACTGTTCAAATTAGATGTGGCCTGCATTTATTTTATTCATATAAAATAAGGAGGAATTTTGTTTACAGAACCGGAAATAGAAGTTTTATCATAGCAATGTCTTATATTATTTGAATTCCTTACGATTTATAAACCAAAATTCACTTACCCCTACCAAACCTCAAAAATTATTTGAATTATCCAATAGTTTATAAATCTATGAAGTCTTCTTATAATTTTTGTTGAAAGCAAGGTATTAGAAAACACATGCCTCATCAGCAGATGGAAGGCCTTCCTATCTGTTTCTCCCTCTCTGTGACTACTTCTCAAATGAAGGAAGGAAGGAAGGAAAGAAGGAAGGAAGGAAGGAAGGAACCATGTACTATTTAACAACATGTACAATGCAGTCACTTGAGTCCATTTTATCAGCATCTATATCAACATTTTAAATTATGTTTTTGTTTGGTACCTGGAGCTTTTCAAATTTGGGGCCAGTGTCCGTCCTTTGGTTGCATTGCTGTATAAGAAGCCACTCCAAACTCATAGGTATACAATAATCTCCATAAACTCAATAAAACTGAGCAGTGACAGACCACCTTAGCTAAAGATTGCATGTCATCCCCTGTGCAAGAAAAAATAGAGGAACCCATAACTTGACCTTAGAAGTACATTTTCAAAAAATCAAAATAAAAACATCTATAAAATAAATGAAACAGTTGATGAAACTAGAGCAGATGTCACAAATTAGGAGATATTTGAATGCAGTTTAAAAAGAAAATTGTGTACACATCTTGGATAAAACCTCTGTGTGCAGAGATATATACAAATATATGCGATGTTTTTGTAGTAATAACTTACATAACTTATATAAGCAATCTAAATGTAAAACACTAGGAGACTAGAAATGTGAAACAATATATTCATATAATTAAATGCTTGTTACACAATATTTCAAAAGAATAAACCAAGACTACATGTATAACATATATTGAGCTTGAAAGCATAGACATTAGAGAAAAAGTCACAATAAAACATAGTGAACATTATACCCCAAATGTATGCAAAAACACCCACATAATGATGCTGTCATCAAAACTAGAAAACATGGACAAGAAGGAGAAGTACTTTTTATAATTGTGGTAATAATTAGGCCAAGCTATAACAAAGGTTAATTATACCTGCTTGCTATCTCTCTTTTGAAAAAAGTTCTGGACAAAATATGGCAAAAAAATAGCAAATATCTAGTTGTCAGTTAAGTGAATGTTTTATGTGCCATTCTTTGAAAATTTTCTGTATTTACAAACATCTCATAATAAAATATTTTGATTGAAATCTGTTTAAACATTCCTAACAGAAATAAATGCTTTGGCTAAGATGTATCCACAGAAAATACTTTTCACAAATTTTTCCTGACCTTAGGGATTATATTAGAACTTTGAGTTGATGGCTGGCACCGTGGCTCACTCTGCCTGCAGTGCTGGCATCCCATATGGGCGCCAGTTCTAGTCCCGGTAGCTCCTCTTCCAGTCCAGCTCTCTGCTGTAGCCCAGGAGTGCAGTGGAGGATGGCCCAAGTGCTCGGGCCCTGCACCCGCATGGGAGACCAGGAAGAAGCACCTGGCTCCTGGCTTCAGATCGGTGCAGCGCATGCCATGGTGGTCATTTGGGAAGTGAACCAACGGAAGGAAGACCTTTCTCTCTGTCTATAACTCTACTAGTCAAATAAAAAAAAAAAAAAAGAACTTTGAGGTGAGGCAATGGTGAGCAGAATTTCAGCAGTTTACTTCCTGAGCAATGTCTGGTGACCCCTACCTGTGGAAGAGCAATGCTAAAAAGATGAGGAATCACCCTTCTTGGTCCCAGAGGAGGATTTTCTGGAGAGGGGGCATTATGCTCTCTGTGGAACCATCATAAACACGTAGGTCTGAATTTTTTAAGAGGGCACTTGGTTATCCAGAACAAGAGCTCTAACTGATGAATCATCAGTTCACTCAACCAAAAATGACTACTGGACACCTACTTTGGTTCTACAAATAGACAGTACATTGGAGCACATGAGGCTTATTTGTAAGGAGATAATTCTATAGTACAATTAAATTTTTATTATTTTAACAGATGTTATCCAAATTTCTCCAAGGAAGTGAACTGTTTGATAAGTTACTTTAAGTTTTATTAAGTGGGAGATGACCTAAATGAAATACAAACAGACAAAAGGTCTTCTGCATGTGAAATTCCCCTTGAAGGAGAAGAGGAGGTAGAGGAGAGGGGATAGAGGGCCAAGTGTAGGAGAGGTCAGAGACACCAGCAAAGGCAGAAGGCGGCTAGCCACTGCACAGAGTGAAGGATTCATAAACAACCACTTGGTATTCAAAAATGAATTTTAAGAACATGCATGTATTTCACAAAATCATTTGTTTTTCAGAATAATGCACTATAATCCCTCACCATGATCACTGTATCTTTAGTAAATCCCCACAGTGACAAATGTCTTAAGGGCAAGGTATTTTTATCAACATGGGAGACACAGCCTAGGTTTCTGTTTGGGCCAGAGTGCTCAGGAACAAGGCAGGACCCACAATGACTACAGCCCAGAAGCTGGATTCATTGTGAGCACGAACGTCTTCTCAGGAAGGCACAGAAATATTAAAGGAGGGTTTGGGACTCCCATTGCCTGAAAACTGAGGTTATGAGACAATCTGAATCTACGTCTGAAGAATTCCTTAGCCTCCAACCTTAGCATAATAGAGTACGTGACACATGCTGCTGGGAGGAGGAATCCTGCAGCTCCAGCAAAGATGACATTGGATCTGGATATCACAGTATGTGTATTTGTGTGCTGCAGTGACAAGGTGAGGAAGAGTGGAGGGAACAGGATGGACAAGTCCAGCAGGATAGTGTGGTTGTTAGGGACACAGACTTGGAACAGTTTGTTTGGTTTGAATTCGAACTCTATCACCTACCAGTTATAGTACCTTCTTAGTACCACGAATGCTTTTCCTGTCAAATGGAGCTAATAATAGTGTCTACCTACCTCCAAAGAACTGCTCGTGATGACCAGTTGAGTTGCCAGCACAGAGAGGCTCCCATTGTGTTTGTCACTATTGTCGCATTCAGGGAAATATAGGCAGCTCAGCATGACCTGCCTGGGTATGCCCACAGATGAGATGTTGAAGGCAGATTGTGAAGGCCTCATTCTCCAGATTACACCGAGACTTTCTTCTGTTGTGTAGTTTTTAGTGTGGCCAGAGCTGTGCTTTAGAAAGGTGTTTGTAGCAGTGCCATGGAGTAAGGATTAAAAATGTGTAAGAGTAACGCTGAGGAGAGTAGGTTGGAGGCTTCCACACTCTGCTGCTGTGATCACTGCAAGGAAGCAGAGATCTTCACCAAGAGGAAATGAAGGGGAACTGCCTCCGTCAGAGTTAGCCTTTCCCACAGAGCCTCGTGCCAGTGTCAGAATCCACAATGCTCTGGACCAGAACTCCCCAGCAGAAATACAGCACAAACAACAAGTGCAGGCCACATGTGCAATTTAAAATTACCAAGCAGCTGCATGAAAAATGTAGAAAGAACTACATGAAACTACTTTCAATAATAAATATCATATAATCCAAAATGTCCAATATATTATCACTGCAATCTGTAATCAATATAAAAATTTTCACACTCAAGTCTTTAAAATTCGGTGTGTGTTCCTGGTCATATTTCAAGTGCTCAATTTAGTGAACAATTACTGAACTAAACAGGACAATTTTTTTTTTTTTACCCGCCACCCTCTGTTTTCTCTTTCAGGTTGGAAAATCTCCAGAAGGTCTGTCAACTGCTTGTTCTGGCCTGAGGTGTGGCGAGATGTTTTGTCATTGATGGGATCCCTCCAATGGGCACCACGGTGATGGACAGATTGGGCTCACTGAAAGGGCCGTGGTGAGTGTGTTGAAAGCTGTTCAGAGTTTCTTTTACCCTTTGTTATTTCCAAGTGGTCTGATGTTCTGAAGACTGCCATCAGTTGCTGGAACTTTTGAGAATTTGTCTTGTTTCATGTAGTTTCAGAGCTGTCCTGGATTGTATCCTAACTGTATAGCCATTTAGAGGCCTCATGATTGCCTCAGAAAGACAGAATTAGCTTCTATGTGTACTAAAACGTTACATGAAATGTCTAGACTAACAAGGGTAGTGGTGGGATTTCCTATATTGAATTTTTTATTTACTCACAATTGTAACTGAGCGCCTACTAGTACTGGGCTGTGATAAGATGTGGGAGTAGTGCTCCCTTGAGAGGCAGGTTTACTCTCCTGGAGACTCTGTCTAGTCAGGGAAGTTGGATTCATCTGTGCTCAGAGAACCCCGGAAGTTTCTCTTTCTTCCTAGGTGACTTGTTTTGCGTTGTAGACCACAGAGTTGAGGCAAACGTGTACCCTGCCTAGTTGAGGTGAGTCACACTTTCTGAAAATCCCTGCTAGAGGACTGAAGGGTGGGTCTCCCAAAAGATATGTCCATGTTCTGCACATGCCCCAGAACTCATCCATGTGATCTTATTTGGAAAAAGGATTTTTAAAAATGATCTCAAGGTAAGAGCATTCTAGATGATCTGGATGGGTCATCTAGAGCAGCAGAGGCACAGGTACAGAGAAGCCAGGCTGACCCCCACAGAGGTTAGGGGAGGGGTCTACACATCAAAGAGCACCAAGGATGGCTAGCACCCACCGGCAGCCGGGACACAGGCATGGTTCCGAAGTGGATCTTTCTCTCAGAGGCTCCACAAGGAGCCAACCCTGTGCTGGCACCTTCATTTTAGACTTTGGATCCCTGGGAATTCTAGAGAAAACTTTTCTGCTGTTGTGAATCACCCAGTTTGTGGTGATTTTTTCCAGCAGCTGTGGACATGAATATATCCTGCTTCTTTCAGAGTTTTGCTCTGTCAGGATACACTTCTTTCATCATCTCTGTCAAATATTTATTAAGCTTTGCTTGGCTTCCTGGTACTAATCTGGGTTCTTAGATAAATTGACCAAAAAAAAAAAAAAATCTAAGGTTTCCAACATAGAAGCCAATCAGCAAGTATTTATTGAGGACCTACTATATGCCAAGGATTCTTCTAGGTATTGAGAATGCAGGGGAAAACAAGAGAGGCCAAGTTGCTGTCCATTTTTAATTTTATTTTTAGATGTATTCTATTTATTTGAAAGGCAGAAGGCAGGGGAACGGAGAGAGAGTGTGCAAAAGAGAGAGCACTTTCTATCTCATGGTCACTTCCCAAATGACTGTAACAGCCAAGGCTGAGCCAGGCTGAAGCCGAGAGCCAGTAACTCCATCCGGGTCGTCCACATGGGTAGCAGGGGCCCGTGTACTTGGGCCATCTGCCACTGATTCCCAGGTGCTTTGGCAGGGCATTAGATCAAAGCAGAGCAGCTGCAACTCTAACCTTTGCTCTAATGTGGATGCCAGAATTGCAAGCAGTGGCTTAATCTGCTAGGCCACAACTCCAGTCTCAATCACTACATTTACACAGATGCATTCAGAACTGAGGGACTGACTACAGAACTTTGGAATATCAAACACCTGACTCCTGTTCCACCAGTCCCTTACTTTCAGGTACTTCCCTCGGCACTGCTGCCAACTCATTTTCCCCAGAAATGAAACTAGTAGTGATTCTTCCTTTTTTTTTTTTTTTTTAAGTTTCCTGGGATCTCAGTTTTCTCCCAATGTGTCAATTTTGTTTTGATATAACAAAAAGGGATCCTCATGCTCACAACCTTTGGGAGCCCCTGGCCAATGAGATGCAACACAAATACCAATGCCAGAGCACACAATACTCTGTACAGTCCTAAGTAATGGAGTCCTGAGCTTCTCCAGAGTCACCTCCCAGCATTTCCCCTAAGGAACCTTTGCTCTGGTCTAAATGGACTCTTCCCAGTTCTTGAACACAGCTCACCACTGAAGCCCATCTACCTTTGCTGTAGTGTACTCTCTGCCCACACTTCATTCCCTTCCCATGTCCAACGTTATCTTCTTTGATACAGTCTCTGTTTGCCCAGGGCAAACACCTGCCCTACGTTTCTATGCCGCTGTGTTACAATGCATACATGTACATGTTCTTATCGATGGTGGGCCCTTGAAGGACACAACCTGGCTGCTCTCACTTTTGTGGCCTAGAGCTTTCAGTAGTGAACACTCACTAATACTTACACTTGACCTAAGCCCAAAGGCTGAGAAGCGATAGTGAGAACAGTCGCTAATACTTATGGAATCACTATGTCACCCACAAAACAGTCATCAAATGTGAACCTGCAAAGTGGAGCTGGAGAAAAGTGGCATAGAAAAGAGTTGTGTGTTTGTATTTAGGTTTTAGATACAAATACAAGAAGTATCTAATATGTAATGTTTTGAACTTAGAAGATACAAGGCTAGAGCCAAGTTTCCCATAGGTTCTGTGACTTTCTAAGTTGCCAGAATGACAAGGACAAGAGCAAAGCCTCCCCTGCCCACGGAGCTGCCCTTCTCCCATCACCCTCCTGTGGGCACATTCCTTTCCCACCCTCTGTTAGATCTGCTGGGTGCCGCCAGCCAGAGCCGAAATTGCCAGTGCTGGAGTGGAGCCCCGCCCCCACTCTCAGCTTCTTCCTGGGAAGGGATACCTCTTGCCTCATCAGTCTTTTGTTCCCTGTTGACAAGCCAGCTGCTGGAAGCCCATGGGGCTCAGGTGGCCTCTGGGAGAAGTCCCTGTGGGGTGGAGATCCCGTACCCAGCAGGTGCTTAGTAGCCTCAGAGGAGAGGAAACAACCTAGACGCATTTCCCTTGTGAGGTGGTTTCCCCAGAAGAAGGATGAATAGGCCGGAAGCCACCCCGCCAGCAAGCCTCCTCCTGTCAGCTCCTAGCCGGACAAAACAAATGCACTTTATCTGGAAGTGAGATTGTCTTCTGGGGGCTGATACATCACACTAAGTCTGAGCTGCTCCCTCTGAGGAATGCCATCTTCTCTTCCCACTGTGACCAGGGCCTCTGGAGGCCTCCCTGCTGGCGAGGCCTCCCTGCTGGCAGCTAAACAAGTTCATAAGAGTGCAGGGATAAAACAATGTCTCCTCTCCCACCCGTGCAGCCTGGGCTTGGCCCAGAAGCCTAGCCTGCCTCCAGGTGGGGGCAGCAGCTCCAGGCTCTCTGGTGTGCTTGCCAAGGCCCAGCAGCCAAGCCTGGTGGGTGGGAACTGCTCTACTCACTCCACCGAAATGGTGCAGAAGAGGCTGGAATTCAGGTCTGCTGAGTGTTCGGGTTGCCTTTCTTCTCTGGAGGGAGGGTCAAGGGTCAACTGCTCTGCCTTGGATGCAGCAGCATTGATCATGAGTTTTACGTGATGTTGTTGAGGTCCCACCTTGTGACAGCAAATTGGTCAGCAGGATAGAGGAAGAAGCTTAATATGGAACTGCGAGGTGGAATAGGGGGAAAATAAGGCACTTAGGATATTTGGGGCTTCCTCTTCATGATCCTAATCACCTCTTATTTCTGACTATGTTTGTGTACCCTTTAGGTCATAGGATAGGAAGTGAGAGTAATGGGCAGGAAAAAATGAAAATGGAGACCAGGAAAAAAAAAAAAAAAAGAAACCTAGGAAGAGAGAGAGACAGGTGAGGCCATCTGGACAGCATAAAATAGAAGAGCAAAAGATGCTGTGAGGGGCTGGCTCTGTGGCATGGCTGGCATCCCATGTGGGTGCTGGTTCAAGTCCTGGCTGCTCTACTTCCAATCTAGCTCTCCGCTGTGGTCTGGGAAAGCAGTAGAAGATGGCTCAAGTCCTTGGGCCCCTGCACCCACGTGGGAGATCCAAAAGAAGCTCCTGGCTCTTGGCTTTGGATTGGCCTAGCTTTGGCCATTGCAGCCATTTTGGAAGTGAACCAGTGGATGGATGACCTCTCTCTTTCTCTCTCTCTCTCTCTGCTTCTGCTTCTCTGTTACTCTGCCTTTAAAATAAATAAATGGATCATAAAAAAAAAGATGTGCAAGAGCAGTTTCTGCTCTACTGAATCCACTTATTCATCCTTTACTCAAGCTATTTCACTTATTTCCATCTTGTGCATTGCTTAGTTTTGGAAATGCATAGAAAATTCTTGTTGGCAGTGAAGTCTGCTTTTACAGTTGGGGAGGCCAACTTTGCAACTGTCTCATGACCATGTGAACCAATATAATAAAGTATTGTGCAAAATTCTGGAGAATGTAGCTCAACCTATAAGACCATGATCAGTGCTACTGGGACAGGTGTAATTGAGAACAAAGAGTCCCAAATAGTTCCAGACTCCACTCTACCCTCAGAAAGCTGTGTGACATTGTGCAAGTCACTCATCCTGTCTGTGTACTCAATTGCAAAGTGATGCACGAAAATTTTTCTAATATTCTTTCTAGCTTCGGACTACATAATATATGATTATGTCTTTGATCTGCTTAAAGGCCATATGGTGCTTTTCTACTGCCCTAACCTAGTATAGCGTAAGCCCCCATCTTCCACTACAGTTTGGTCTTCCCCTTGATATTTCCTTATAATTGTTGGTCAACCCATGATGAAATAATCACAACCACTCGCTGTCTCCATTCTTGTCCTTGTGCGTGCCATTTCCTCTGTTGCAGTGCCTCCTCACCCTTCCCCATCCAGAACTCTCATTTTTCCATCACAGTGCTTTCCCTTCTGGGAGGCCTTCTTTTGTCATCCCTTCAACCTCAGCTGAACACCGCCCCCCCCCACCAGCCTTGTGCTCTTAAAAGCTCTGTGCTTACCTTCCCATCACTTTCCAGAGGATATTATAATTGCTCTCCCTATCTGCCCACCTTGTAAAACCTTGACCTTACTGAAGGCATGAGTCATCTCTGGGATTTTTTTGCCCACTTCAGTATCTTAACACACAATGAATGAATTGAAGAAAGTTGAAATTTGACTTTAGAGCCTTTGTCAATGTCCTTTGAGTTATTTTTCCTTAGAAATTATGTGGTAGAAAACATAATGCCATGTTTAATTTTAGCTTTTAACCTAATTACAAAAGAAGAATCCTCTTATTTTACATGTACTTTAAACATTTGAGGTTCATTTTACTGTTTATATTGTAATAGTAATAAATAGATACATGTATCTTATATAAATAGCAAGCTGGAGACAGCAAATAAAAGAGAAAAATTTAGGTTGTAATGAAATAAAATAATACATTTAATAAGGAGTGTGTGAAGATTGTTTTTTGTAAGAATGAAGCATAGGTGAGTAGCTCAATGAGTGATTTGTGGAGAAATAGGAAACTCTTTTTCTTGAGTCAAGCCAAGCATTCCTGAAGTTAACTTGGCTTATAAAGGAGGAGGAAGAAGAAAAATGTGTGGTTCCTGGCTTGTCTCTCCGTCAAAGAAGGGAGGAATGGGCCAATTCCCCTTTCCCTCTATTCTAGCCAAGTAGCCCCCAAGACCCTAAATTATTGTCCATTTCCAACCCCTGAGGGCAAGGGTCAGTCAGGAGGCCCTGAGCCAGCACAGGGGGATGACTGGGGAGGGTCATCTCAGGCCTTTGCAAAGCAGAGGCCAGACTTTCTCTTCTCTTCTTCCAGGAGCTGTTCTACTTCTTCAGCTGGGCGGGGGTGGGCTCACCAGCACATCTGTCCACTGAAGAGGCTGCGGCATACAAGCAAAGGGTCTTCTACCAACTCAAAGTGATATCCCTCACAGCCTGTCTACCTCATTCAGGTAAACACTTTGGAAAAAGGATTAACAGGTGCATATCTATTAGTCACTAGTACATTAGCTATTCTAGACTTGCATGGAAAATATAAGAATATTAATAATAGAGGTAGATGTTGATCAAAACAGGCTTCTAAGGTACAGTTTGAAAGACACTGGAAACTTACAGCTGATGGAAAATGCCCCTTAATTATTGATTCCAGCTATTGAGTAGCAGAACTGTGAATAGTTTTGTTTGGTTTTGTTTTCATTTTTAATTTTACTTTAAAATGAAAACTTTATTCATGTTCCTATTTAGGGTTATCTGAGTTATCTAGAAAAAGTAAGGAGAAAGAGTAATTATAAGTAGTTAATTTTAGGACTCATTAAAACAAAAGTGACAAGTGACTAGGTCGCTTGTACAGCTGGAGAACATTCTGGTGTCCTGTTAGATGAACTTTATTTTTTATTTTTTTAAAGTTTTTAAGGATTTTACTCAGTGAGAGAAATGCACAGGAAAGTGAGGGCTTTAATTAGGGGAGAAAGAAGTCTAGAAGCTAAGCTGAGTTCATACCAGGCAGAGAACAGGCCAGGAGCCACGTGGAGCAAGCATGAAGGCAGGAAAACAGAGGCAGGACAGGGGCCAGTGGACCATGTGCCCCAAAGGCACGGGGCAACAAGAGAGGGGCCCACCATATTCCAGGCCTTTAATTTACTCCCAGAGGGGGAGTGGCTATGTAGTCTGATTGGCAGGTGGGCATATAGGTGGGGGTCAGGTAGGAACATAAGGTCACACAGGGGGCGTGGTCTTACAGCTCACAAATCTAATCAATTTTATCCTATCTGCCTGCCTAAATTTCCAAAGTACAACTTTTGGATTATAGTGGCCTTTTCCCCCCATCACCTTCCCCCAACCTGCAACCATCCCATCTTCCACTCCCTCTCCCATCCCATTCTTCATCAAGATTCATTTTCAATTATCTTTATATACAGAAGATCAACTTAGTATATACTAAGATTTCAACAGACTGAACCCACAAAGACACACAAAGTATAGAGTACTGTTTGAGTACTAGTTATACCATTAATTCACATAGTACAACACATGAAGGACAGAGATCCTACATGGGGAGTAAGTGTACAGTGACTCCTGTTGTTGATTTAAAAATTGACACTCTTATTAATGGCATCAGTAAACACCTGAGGCTCTTGTCATGAGTTGCCAAGGCTATGGAAGCCTGTTGAGTTCACCAACTCTGATCTTATTTAGACAAGGCCATAGGCAAAGTGGAATCAACCTAAATGCCCATCAACAGAAACTGGATAAAGAAATTATGGGACATGTACTCTATAGATACTATATAGCAGTAAAAAAAATTGAAATCTGGTCATTTGCAACAAAATTGAGGAATCTGGAAAACATCATGCTGAGTGAAATAAGCCAGACCTTAATCTTAAGGGATGCTGAAGGGTGTAGGATCATCATATCTTCTATAACTGCTTCCTGCTTATTAGGGGAGTAGTGCAGGCGCTGACTCTCCTGGATCTAAAAGTCTCTGTGTATCTCATCTGAAGAATTTGTTTTATGAGCTGGAGAATTTTCAGTCACCACCAATGGCTGGGTCCCCTGCATGGTCAGTTATTCTTCTTTTTTTAAACTTTTATTTAATGAATATAAATTTCCAAAGTACAGCTTATGGATTACAATGGCCATTTCCCCCCATAACTTCCCTCCCACCCGCACCCCTCCCATCTCCCGCTCCCTCTCCCATTCCATTCACATCAAGATTCATTTTCAATTATCTTTATATCAATTTAGTATATTTTAAGTAAAGATTTCATCAGTTTGCACCCACACAGAACAGAAAGTGTAAAATAATGTTTGAGTACTAGTTATAGCATTAATTCACATTGGACAACACATGAAGGACAGAGATCCCAAATAAGGAGTAAGTAATCTTTGAAGTTGTTGAGCTCTGAAGCATATAAGTTTGTTAATTCACATAAGCAAAACTGGAACAAAACCAATTCCAAGTAGTGTTCCCCTTAAGTTGGAAAGAACATATCTTACAGACTCCCAGATAGTGGATGGTGATAGGCTACCCTTATGTAGATTATAAAACCATTTAGCTTGAGCACAGAGAATTATAATAGAAGAACCTGTTAAGGAGTTTTATTGTCAATATCAGCTCCGAGAGAGAATCAAAAGAGGAGGCAGGTACAGCATTTCTGCCTTAAGGTACAGCAGTTTTGATGTGACAAAAGCAAAAGCTTTACTTATCTTTTAGTTTTTGAAGAGGTATCTATGATCTTTAATTGGCTTACAGGAATAATCAGGCATGCCTTTTCAGTTCACCTGTGGAGACTTAAGAGTTGGAAGTTTAACCGTAATTTTACTGAGGTAGTTGTGCTCAAATGCACCTGGTAAGATCTTTTCCATTTAAGCTGCAATTGATTGGAAGAGGGTCTGTGAATGGCTTGCTCAGGAATTCCCAGTGCTGGCACTTCTGTTAAAACCTCTTCAATTCCTTATACCTTTTGTAGCTCCCCTGTCCAGCATAGTGTGTCTATGTTGGGGCCTTCTATAGCTTCATATAAAGGCTTGGAATCCAAATCCTAGAATCCATATTCCATAAAATCCTGTCATCAGGGATTCCCAATGTTGGAGCTTCTGTTAAAAGCTCCGTAATACTTTGGAAGAACTTTTGTAACTCCAACATGGGAAGCAGGCCACACAGCAGACTCATAGAATAACAAATGCCCTAAATAGCACTCTGGCCTCAGAATCAGCCCTTGAGGCATTCAGATCTGGCTAAAAAGCCCATGAGAGCATTTCAGGCATGGAAAGCCAAGACACTGTGGCAAAAAATCACCTACATGAAAGATCTCTGTGAATGAGATCCCAGTGGAAAGGAGGAGCCATTAAAGAAGGAGGTACCTTTCTCTGATGATAGGAGAGAACTTTGACTTTGCTTATGGCCCTGTCTAGATAATGACAGAGTTGGTGGACTCAAAAGAATTCCGTAGCCTTAGCACCTCATGACAAGAGCCTCAGGTGATCACTAACATCATAAATAAGAGTGTCAATTGTTAAATCAACAACAGGAGTCACTGCACTTGTTCCCCATGTAGGACCTCTGTCCTTAATGAGTTGTACTATGAGACGAATGGTACAACTTGTCTTCAAACAGTACTTTATACTTTGTGTTTCTGTGTGGATGCAAACTGTTGAAATCTTTACTTAGTATAGAGTTGATTGTCTGTAAATAAAAATAATTAAAAATGAATCTTTTTTTAACTTTTATTTAATGAATATAAATTTCCAAAGTACAGCTTATGGATTACAATGGCTTCCCACCCATAACGTCCCTCCCACCCGCAACCCTCCCCTTTCCCACTCCCTCTCCCCTTCCATTCACATCAAGACCCATATTCATTTCTCTTTATATACAGAAGATCAGTTTAGTATACATTAAGTAAAGATTTCAACAGTTTGCTCCCACACAGAAACATAAAGTGAAAAATACTGTTTGAGTACTAGTTATAGCATTAAATCTCAATGTACAGCACACTAAGGACAAAGATCCTACATGAGGAGTAAGTGCACAGTGACTCCTGTTGTTGACTAAACAAATTGACACTCCCGTCCATGGCATCAGCAATCACCCTAGGCTCTTGTCATGAGCTGCCAAGGCTATGGAAGCCCCCCGAATTCACTGACTCTGATAATTTTTAGACAAGGCCATGGTCAAAGTGGAAGTTCCTTCCTCCCTTCAGAGAAAGGTACCTCCTTCTTTGATGACCCATTCTTTCCACTGGGATCTCACTCGTGGAGATCTTTCATTTAGTTTTTTTTTTTTTTTTTTTTTTTTTTTTCCAGAGTGTCTTGGCTTTCCATGCCTAAAATACTCTCATGGGCTTTTCAGCCGGATCCGCATGCCTTAAGGGCTGATTCTGAGGCCAGAGTGCTGTTAGGACATCTGCCATTCTATGGGTCTGCTGTGTATCTCACTTCCCATGTTGGATCATTCTCTCCCTTTTTGATTCTATCAGCTAGTATTTGCAGACACTATTCTTGTTTATGTGATCCCTTTGGTTCTTAGTCCTATCATTATGATCAATTGTGAACAGAAATTGATCACTGGGACTAGTGAGATGGCGTTGGTACATGCCACCTTGATGGGATTGAATTGGAATCCCCTGGTATGTTTCTAACTCTACCGTTTGAGGCAAGTCAGCTTGAGCATGTCCCAAATTGCACATCTCTTCCCTCTTTTATTCCCACTCTTATATTTAACAGTGATCACTTTTCAGTTAAGTTTCAGCACTTAAGAAGAATTGTGTATTGATTACAGTATTCCACCAAAAGTATTAAGTAGAACAAACAAAAAAAATACTAAGAGGGATAACATATCAAGTTGCTCATCAACAGTCAGGGTGAGGGCTGATCAAGTCACCGTTTTTCATAGTGTTCATTTCACTTTAACAGGTTTCTTTTTGGTGCTCAGTTAGTTGTCACCTATCAAGGAGAACAAGTGGTATTTGTCCCTTTGGGACTGGCTTATTTCACTCAGCATAATGTTTTGCAAATTCCTAACAGGGATCACTTTTCAGTTAAAATATAAACACCTAAGAATAATTGTGTGTTAATTACAGAGTTCAACCAACGGTACTAGAACAAAAAAAATACTAAAATGGATAAAGGATTACATTGTACATCAACCGTCAGGACAAGAGCTGATCAAGTCACTGTTTCTCATAGTGTCCATTTGACTTCAACAAGTTTCCCCTTTGGTGCTCAGTTAGTTGTCGCCGAAAGTCAGTTTGGAGAGTCCTCAGAAACCTGAATATAACCCTGCCATTCAACCCAGCCATCCCACTACTTGGAATTTACCCAAAGGAAATTAAATTGGCAAGCAAGCTGTCTGCACATTAATGTTTATTGCAGCTCAATTAACAATAGCTAAGACCAGGAACCAACCCAAATACCCATCAACAGTAGACTGGATAAAGAAATTATGGGACAT